TTTTAATAAAAGTTGATAAACTCTAAAAAGCTTTTGATTCCTTTTACTGAGATCAGTGTCTTTCAATTGAGAATTGCTTCCATCTTCTTAAAATCGATGCATATATCTCTTTCAATTTCAATGATGAACCTCAGATAAGTTGTAGACTTAATCTCAAAGTTGCATTTATTAATGTTCATTTATAATCCAGCTTTATGTAAGTAAATAAGCACTTGTCATACATGCTTATGATGCTCAGTGAATGAGCCATTCATGAAGATTAGAATATCATTTATATATATTGATGCAATCTCATTCAGTATGTTTTATAAAGCTCAATTAATATATTTCTGAAACATATTTAAGATGTTAATCAGTTCAAAAAGAGTCACTGTTCATTCAAATAAATTGTAATAGGCGCAACGGAGATATCTATATTAGGAAATAGATACGTGGCGATAGATACGTGGCGATGGCAATATTATCTATATAATGCTCGCTGATATCCGTGGATTTTAGGAGATCAGCGATTAGCTTTGAACAATAGAGATTGCTACCTTCTTAATATCCTTTGTGCGTACTTCACACTACTCTTGTAATTACTCTTGTAGCCCATCTCTTACAATTCTAATCGCTCTAAACCTTATTTGAGTGGTCCGTTGTTACGCACACCTACAACAAAACACGCAACGTTAGTTAAAACACGCAACTTAAAACACGCAAGATGGTTTCAACACGCGCAAGATCCCTTGGGAACCAACCCGAATCCTCTACCACCTCCGACGACCACAATGCCCGATTGCAACAGTTAAACGATCAAATCCGTGAACGAGAGCAACAGTTAGCTATTCTGCACGCGCAACAACGCCTCAACGAGTTGGAAGCACAGATTCGCGAAGATACTTTTATCGAGTCCCGACCAACCCAGGATATCGCCGCAGAACTACCGCAAAATCGACCCGCAGACAATATGGATGATGATAACGAAACACCGCCGAGATTGGAGATTAAGGATTACTATCGAGGAAAGAATATGTTAGAATTTAAGGACTATAAAGATCGCATGTTGACTCTCTTTGCACGCCACCGTCTATATTATCGAAAAGAAGAACGCAAGATAAACGACGCCAAACTCTACCTTGATGCCCACGTTAAGCAGAAGTGGTTGAATTTTGTATCAGCATATGAGAGACGCGGAGGAGCAACACCGTTAACATTCGACGATATGCTATCACACCTAGAGATGCAAATTAACGACCCGCAGAATCAGCGTCGATTGGCGAGCCAAAGATTCCAGGATGCTAAGCAACAGGAGTGGCAGTCGATACGCGACTTTTCTAAATATCTCGAAGATTGGGAGTATTACTTACCCCCATACAGCGAGGAACAGAGAATGGATAACCTGCGTAGTAAGGCATTGAAGGTGCTACGCACCGAACTCGACCGTCGAAATCAAGAACCCCAGAACTACGAAGAGTTGCTTCGAACTCTACAGACTCTCGAGGAAAATATGCCGGAGCGACGACGTGCCATTCGCAAAGGCAGACCTGCGATATTCGTAGGGAATCAGCGTCGTTCTGATAAATCTAGCAACCGCCGGAATAAAAGGAAACGAGAGGAACAGACGAGTTTAACTGAACAAACCAAGAAGGATAAATATAATTGGATGAAGGAGTGCTCACACTGCCATAAGAAGGGGCATGTCGCAAACGATTGTTGGATGTTATACCCCGAAAAGCGCAACCAAGTCCGACAAGCAAAAAACTAGCAATCCCAATCGTAGGAGCAGCTGCTGCATTGGGAATACAGACGACTAGGCTGCGAGATAAACACTTATTGGCAATGAACACCTGGATGTTGACAGAAGCAGGATGGTCAATGGCGTGGACGTTAGTAGATTCTGGCGCGGATGCAAACTTCGTGTCCCATGCTTGGGCATTGAAATATTTCTCGAAGTCAGAAGGTAAACCGAAAGTAGTGGAAGCAGTTGATAATCATAGGGTTAAATCATATGGACAACGAAAAGCTGCAATGAAGATTATCGATGATGAACATGTCCTCCGGGAAGGATTCCACCATTTCGAAGAAGCCGACATCAGTGGATACGATGTAATTCTGGGTATGCCATGGTTGAAAGCTGCGAACCCCAACATTGACTGGGTGCGAAGATGCTGGACCTATAGGAAAGCGTCAAATATTAGTCACGTGCACCTAGATACCGCTAAGGAATTTGCAACTTTAATGGACAACAGCAACATCATATTCGCCGCCTTTCCATTGCGAGCTGCGCACGCAGCGACTGAGCCAAATATCCCGGATGATTATAAGGATTATCTTGATGTATTCCGAGAAGATATACCTGACGCGGAACACGCACCCCACGATCATGCCATAGATCTCAAACCTGGCAAGGAACCACCGTACCGACCGATATATAACCTGTCACCTCAAGAACTCTCTATCCTCCGAGAATATATTGAAAAGGCATTAGAGAAGAATTGGATACGCCCGTCCAAGAGCCCAGCCGGTGCCCCAGTATTATTCGCACCGAAGAAAGACGGAACCCTGCGTCTTTGCGTAGATTATCGAGGGTTGAACGAAATAACAGTCAAGAATCGGTATCCGCTGCCCCTGATAAGTGAAATACTCGATAGATTAGCAGGTGCCAAAATATACACGCAATTGGATCTTAGGGAAGCGTATCATAGAATCCGCATACGAGCGGGGGATGACCGGAAAACGGCATTTCGAACACGATACGGACACTTTGAGTATCTGGTTTACGA